CATGTTATCAACCACCATAAACTACTGGGAGGGTCATCTGGCATCCCAGGTATTTCCCTGTCTCATGCTGATTGGTGGCTTCTAGGGGGTTGCTATGGGTCCTCACCTAGCCTGACTGAGTCAGGGACACCTGACTCCACAGTTCTTTCCTGTTATTTGTAGATAAACAACTCAGAAGGGTGGGTATGTGCCTAGGAGTGCTCTGTGAGTCTTTCAAAGGACAGGGGTTACGCCCCTTTCCTTGGACAGGCTTTGCTCTGAGGTAGAGGCTGGTTTCTCAAATACACATAGTTCTTTGATAATGATGAACCTTGTTATATGGAAGATGAACAAATCTTAGATTACTAACATCTGCAAAATCAAGGACAACCTCCACAGAGGAGAAACTCCAGACTTAGGCAACTTTTCTTGCTCATGGTTGTATAGGTCCTTAGTTAATAATTTTGAATAAATCTTAATATATATATATATATATATATATATAAGTACAGAAAACTCATATGAAGAAAAATTCCCAGCTTATGGAATGACAACCCTGTTTGTTGAGAAATCTGGTAATAGAAATTACATATACAAATAAAAATAATAGAAAACATAGTCTGAAAAGTAGAACTATCCTACTCTGCTAAGGTTGCCATAGATTCATACAGTCTAATAAATACAGTAGGACTGTGTTGAGGCCCTACTCCAATATATTCAAATGCAGAGGAGGTTATGGCTTTGATACATGAAATTGTGGGCAAGGGGAGCACAGTTCAGTCCATAGTAAGAACAGTTGAGAAACTGAGATTGAAGTGTGTGAAATTGTGTGAGTTTTTAAAAGCCTGAGAGATATCGGTGTTATTTCTTCTAATAATAATATATTTTCCAATTGGTGGAATGGTTTCTACATAGGTCCTAAAATTGAACCATATCCCTCACCTTTTCTCTAAGCCAGCAAGTGTTGATATCAGCCAGGCACAGTGGCACACGCCTGTGATCTGAATGACTCAGGAGGCTGAGGCAGGAGTCACACAAGTTTCAGCCACACTGGGAAACTTAGCAAGACCCTGTCTCAAAACAACAACAACAACAACAACAACAACAAAAATTGTAGAAAAGGACTGGGGATATAGCTTGGTGGTAAAGTGTTCCTGAGTTTCACTTCAGTACCAAAAAAGAAAATAAAAAGCTTAGATACGGCTCCATCCTGTGTATATCACAATAACACCTCAAAGGGAAGTATTATCATATTGTATTTTGGCCTATTTACCATTTTTTAATTAATTAGTCCCTTYGCTACACAACCTGCTTGAATAGTATTCATTCAGGCATGGAATCCCAAGGCTCCAAAGACATTTAAGTTTCCACCTAGTGGAAACAATGTAGCTATTAGTGTCTTAGAAAACATCTTTCYAGAAGAGAAACACAAGGCCAACTTTGTCATTTATCTGGATTCATCTGCCTAAAAAGAAAGAGCTTTACAGATTATGGGAGGAAATGCCTGACCTTGGTTTACATTTTGGACTTTAGATCCTAGATGGGCAGATGGTAAAAAGAGCAAACTTCCTTCTTGTAAGTCCCCTAAGAGCCATCTTTATCACTTTTCTTTTCTCTTTTGTTGATCCCTCTTTCATGCCTCATATACTCAGAAAAGAGGAGAAATTGGAAACTTTGGTTGACAAATATTCTCAKATTTTGTGATGAAGAAGAATATACAGCTAGTGGGCATAAGAATATGTTATGATTTGCTTGGTTTGAAGGAGTTTTCATTTTTAAAAAAATCATTTGAATCTGATCCATCAGTTCACAAACCCCATTCTGATTATTTCCCCTGATAACCAAGAATTTGTACTGGATTAAAAATGATTTTTTTAAGTGAAAATTCTTAATGATCCTATGCCCAGATAACTTCAGCTCTTTTTTTTTTTTTCCCTGTGGTGTGATGGCCAAAACTTTTTTGGAGGTGGTACAGATGGTACAGATTTTGTGTAGTCTGTGATTTGTATCTTGTCACCTGGAAGTAGATAAAAAACTTTTAAGTACTCAGTGGAATGGAGTAAATTGGGAACAGATAGATGATCAAGCTGTTTTACATGGTTGTTTGGGGAGACTGGGGAATATTATTAATCGACAGTATGACACAAGTTATTGTACAACACAAATGAGTTAAATCCAAGTCATGCCAGACATTGCGTAAGTTATTTCATTCTTTAATTCACTGTTTATGAAGGACCTACTCTCCTATTTTATGCCAACCACTGTTGTTTGCACTGATGACATAATTTAAACATGAAAAATTATTTACTCTCCTAGACGTGTGTGTGTGTGTGTGTGTATGTGTGTGTGTGTGTGTGTGTGTGTGTGTGTGTGTGTGTGTGTAGCTGTAAACAGAGGTTCATTTTCATTGCTTAATAAAGAAGAGAGACAGATGAATGATATCCAGGCAAAGTTCAGCAAGGTCAATAAAGCCTACAATGTATCACAGATGCAGTGCAATGGAAAGACTGATCTCTTTCAAAAAGTAAAAATAAAAAGCATTTGAATTTAGTTCCTAGTTTTTCCATTCACTGCCTTAATTTAGGAGAATTATTTAGCCTTTCTCTTGTGCAAATGTTTTCTTTTCTGCAGATCCACAGGTGAGGGTCATCATGAGTACACAGAGATCATGCATGTGTTTTGAACTATAAAGTAGTCATTGTTCAATCTTTCTTTATGACTCACTTTAAAAAGGAACAAACATAATGCTGTCAGTAATAGTGATTGACAAATATACTAATTTCCCTCGTCCATGAGGGAGGAACAACATTTATTGTGTGGATCCTGATGTTCCCTTTAAACACTTTTGCTGTTAAAGTTTTCTTTCCTTCTTTTTATTTATTTATTTATTTGTTTATCTGTTTATTTATTTATTTATTTTTGGCACTGGGGATTAAACCCGGGGCACTTAATCACTGAGCCACATCTCAGCACTTCTTTTTTAAATATTATTTTTTTATTTTGAGACAGGATCTTGCTAAGTTGCTTACAGCCTCACGAAGTTACTGAGGCTGACCTCGACCTTGTGATCCCCAACCTCCTCTCAACCTCCCAAGTTGCTGGGATTATGGGCACCCACTTCTGTGCCCAACTTGCTTTTACATTTAAAAAAAAAAAGTTGTTGTAATAAAAGACATCTCTATTGTGAATCAGTACAACAAAACTACTTGCTTCAGAAACTCTTAAGTTGGCTGTGGCAGTTCCACTCTAATATATAATGCCCTGAATCTTGGGGCACAAGCAATCTCTCCATAACTTACAATGTGAACACTCATTTAAATTTCATTTCCCTAGTAAGGTCACTCCTGGAGAGTGAGCAAGGTCATACTTCCATGTCCTCTGTTTCTTCTTCCTTGCCAGGCCTGACTCYCATGGATTTGAAGAACAGCTCTGTGGTGACAGAATTCATCCTGTTGGGAATCCCACACACGGAGGGGCTGGAGACTAYACTTTTTGTCCTCTTCTTGCCCTTCTATGTATGCACCCTGCTGGGAAATATGTCTATCCTGGTGGTTGTCATCTCTTCCACTCGCCTTCACACACCCATGTACTTCTTCTTGGGGAACTTGTCTGTGTTTGACATGGGTTTCTCTTCTGTGACCTGCCCCAAAATGCTTTTCTACCTTATGGGACTGAGCCGGCTCATCTCCTACCAAGACTGTGTCTCCCAGCTCTTCTTCTTCCACTTCCTCGGAAGCATTGAGTGTTTCTTGTATACTGTGATGGCCTATGACCGTTTTGCTGCCATCTGTTACCCTCTTCAGTACACAGTAATCATGAACTCCAGAATCTGTGTGRCCCTGGCTGTGGGCACATGGCTTTTAGGGTGCATTCATTCCAGCATCTTGACTTCCCTCACCTTCACCTTGCCATACTGTGGTCCCAATGAAGTGGATCATTTCTTCTGTGATATCCGAGCACTCTTGCCCTTGGCCTGTGCTGATACWTCCTTAGCACAGAGGGTAAGCTTCACCAACGTTGGCCTAGTGTCTCTCATCTGCTTTCTCTTAATCCTCGTGTCCTACACTCGAATCACGGTCTCCATCTTGAGTATTCAKACAACTGAGGGTCGCCGCCGTGCCTTCTCCACCTGCAGTGCTCACCTCATTGCTATCCTCTGTGCCTATGGGCCCATTATCACTGTCTACCTACAGCCCACACCCAACCCCATGCTGGGAACTGTGGTTCAAATTCTGATGAATGTGGTAGGACCAATGCTGAACCCTTTGATCTATACCTTAAGGAATAAGGAAGTAAAGACAGCCCTGAAAAAAATATTGCACAGGAYAGGACACATTCCTGAGAGTTAGTAAGATTATTAACATAGTAAATGTTAGAGTCAAGATGAAGTATTTTCTTGTTCTTTCTCAACTGCCTGGAAAAAGAACAATCCAGCAAGGTTGTTCTTCCATCTATCTTATGCTTAACCTTGTGCTTAATTACTCTGCTTGAAGGTATCTGGGCAAATTGGGTTAGCTCCTAACCTTAGGATAATGAAAAGTATTGTGASTATCATACACATGCACACACACACACACCTTTGATTCCGTTTCCATCTCACCACAAACTAATAATGTGACTATTAGTGTGATAAAACCATGGTTCATCAAGTMAGATTACCAGATTTTTCAAGTGGTTTTCCAAGTATTCAAAAATCCCAGAACACCTGAATTGATTCCAAGGTTTCCATATTAATGGTRGTTAATGAGACTGCTCTTTTATCTATCTTATATATTAGATTACTGAGCAAGAGTCCACTGAAAAACTTTGAAAGCCTCTGGACCATGCCATCCCTATGGTACTTWGTAGGACTAAAACCATAACATATATTCTTCTTTCTACATATAGATTTCAGGTTCTTCAACTCCTAAATTTCAATCTTACTCCTCTGAGATTCTCTTAGGCTTTTTACATTGTGAAGGCTCCAACATTCACTTTATTTGCCTACCAAAAATATCTGTTATTTACAATAAAAAAAGACCCTAGGTCTGGGGATATAGATCAGTGGGAGAGCATGTGCTTTGCGAGATCCTGGGTTTGATTCCTGGACCCATGAAAACAAAACAAAGTGGCAACAACAAAAACTGTGAAGGAAATATTTATGATTAAGCTTACCCCTATATAACCTCCTTTTTTTGGTATGCATCAAAGCTAGCTATTTTGTTTCACAAATGGTCACACAGAAGCCCTATGGGGCTAATGACTGACTCTGCAGTACCACATTGTTAATTTATTTTAGCATAATTCTAATAAYCAGATGAGCAAAAAGCCACAAGAAAAACTGGGTGTCCCTCTTAAAACATGTTCCCCTAGGAAAATGGTTCCACCACAGAGGATCAGATAAAGAGATGTTCTGTTTTATTGAATGGAAAGTCTCATGGTCATCAGGATGTGGTTGAYCCTTAMGCTCATAAGACATGACCAGGAAAGGCTGAAACTCTGAAATCTGCTTCTCACAGGCCCAATGATCATTATCACAGAGTTTTAAAAAATGCTATCAAGCCTCTCTAGTTAGTTGCCTGAATATTAAGATCTACTTATTCATTTTCCCTGTCCAGTCTACTAAACTCTTTAACCTCCTCCAAATTAATAAATATGATGCCTCTTTTCCCTCCTGGATWTTATAGAATTATCCTGTGCTCTCATCAGAYCTTTTCTGTATCTTGAATATTTCTATAGGAAATTTGCTCTGTATGACGSTACTTCATTATCCCTCAAAATTTCATCTCAGGAGATGACTTTGAAGAAAGGTAAATTATTAGATTTGGGTTCAAAGACGTCTATGTCTTAATTCCAGGAACCTGTGATTATATTAGGCTAAATGTCAATAGGAAATTAAAAATGCTCATGGAATTAAGTGGCTAACCAGCAAACCCCCTGAAGAGATTATTCTAGGTGATTTGGGCTAGCACGTGATTATGACAAAGATTCTTGTAAGTGGAATAGGAAGGCAGAAGAAAGAATAGGGAAATTGTTTGAGAAAAAACCAAAGCCCTACCAACACTGATTTTTAGTTCAATGGGACTTATTTTGGATTTCTAACCTTCAGAATTGTTAAGATAATTGTTAAGATAATAAATTTGCATTGTTTAAGCCAGTTCACCTTTGGTAATTTGTTACACCAGGAATAAGAAACTAATACAGCTTGCATACCTCTAAGCTTCACCATTGATTCAAAGCTGTCCTATGACTCTTCTTTCCTCAGCAGGGGTCTGAGAGCTGGAGGTCTGAGAGCATGTACTCTGAGGGTTGGATTGGGTCCCTGTGAACCTCTAAGTGTCACTGAGCATATTGGCATGTCTAACTAGTGGCACACAGGACAAATATCCATAGACTTTCTCTGAAACATGTCCTAGAAAAATATTGGTGTAAATACTCTGTTCCGACCTGTTCTAGGAGCACAGCAGTATGTTGGCCTTGAGCAGATGTTCCTTGGCCTTACAAAACAATATACTTTTACTGCCAAAGTTCCAGTCTGTCTGAGGATAAGAAGATAAAACTATAAAAGAATTATTACACCTTCACTGTGCTCCAGAAAATCTCATGTGTTAATTATCAAAAATAGGRATAATAATGTATAGATTGAAAGCTAGCATACCAATCACTGAAAAAGGATTCATAATTATAATTAAAAAGCACATTTATAACTTAGTATTTTAAGAATTAAGCACCATAAACCAATATAAAAAGGCTTAGTATAATGCCTGGAAAACTGATTTTGGGATGAAACATYGAAGTTCACAATATGTACTAAAATAAATATTAGATGAATGAAGAATTGAATAATAAAAATTAAAAAAGGAAAGACAAACAAACCAAAATAATCCAGTTGAGAAAATTATTCTGTGTATTTTTCTTACTTACTAAAGAAAAACAGAAGGACTGGAGATGAAGCTTAATGGTAGAGTGCTTGCCTAGGATGTATGAAGCCCTGGGTTCAGTATTTAGTACTGCAAAACAAAGGAGAGGATGGAGGGAGGAGAGGGAAAGGAAGTAAGGATGGAATGAAGGAAGGAAATAGAGGAAGGGAGAAAAAAAGAAAGGGAGGAAGGGAGTGAGTGGAAAGAAAGGAAGAAAGGGAGAGAGGAAAAGAGGTAGAATGGGATAGCAGAAGGGAGAAGAAAGAAGGGAAACCTCCCCAAGGGCCTCACTAGTGAAAGGCTGTCAATCACCATGTATTGCCAATTTCACCCAAATTGTTACAGTTCTCTACAAATAAGTACCTTACATTTAATTGTGGAAACATCTCTGACTTGTGCTATTGGGCTAACATTTAATATTACATAACATAAAAACTACCTTCATTTTTGGAAAATAGAAAAATTTCTGTGTAAGTGAGGTTTGTAGTATTTCATGTTTATTTCAAAGATTCTGTCCTCACTTAAACTGGAGGGAGGGGTAGCTGAGAACTAGTACCACCAGCTTTGGTTCCACACCACTGGACCTGACAACTTAGTGAGCAACCCCAAGCCCCATTCCTTGCTCTCCCAAAGGGATACACAACCTCAGAAGAAAGGCAACAAAGGTGGTATGGCATAGGCAGAGAGCCGCCATTTTTAATATTTGTCAACAGTTTTGACCTCCTCAGCAGAGACAGTCCTTTAATTTTTCATTAAACATTTATTTTTTTCTTTCTTTTTTTGAGAGAAAGAGAGAGAAAGAGAGAGAGAGGGAGAGAGAGAGTTCTCTCTGTGCTGATTGACTTGTAGATATGTACATTTTTTTCTTTTTGTTTTCTCTTAATTTTTATCCCTGTTTTTCTTCCCTCAACTCTTACTCTCCATGTTTTGACTTAGAAGGGTAGGATTTTTCTATTGTGTGTATGTTTTGGTTTTACTTTTTGTTTGTTTTGCTCTTGTTTATATTTCCTTTCTTATTTCTTTTTCTTCTCTTCCCTTTTCATAGTCATATTCCTTGTTTTCTTCCTTTTTCATTATTTATTTTATTTCTTTTACTTAATTTAACTCATCATTTTATAGCTATCTTTTGCAACTTCTATCCTACTTTTTCTGTTAAACTTCTGAATAATTTAAACTTTCTTTTACCTTYCTATCCCATTTCTTTTCTCTTATTGAACTGCAATTTTACTATCCTTAAGATAAATTTAGTTTACATAACTACTTCATATTTTTGCAGTTATAATTACTGCAGAGGGTAAAGTTGACACCTATTGTATTTTTTAATTATGGATTAGTTTGTAGCTGTTTAATGTTGTTGCCATTGTTAAACAACACCTTGCTATTCCTCTTCTTGAAGTAATTAATATTGTGTTTGCCATAGTAGGCACAAGACATTTATTCTGATGTTGTGTTTTGATTACTACTATTGTTGCTGTTGCTTATTTCCCTTTTTCTGAAATAGGCTGGGAAGAGACTGGTACACTACAAGTTCATATAACCCACACCTCCACAACATGTGAGCTCACTGTCTTACACACACAAACTAACCCCACTCAAACTTCAAACATACTTTAATTTTTTTCTTTTTTCTTTTTTTATTGGTTGTTCAGAACATTACAAAGCTCTTGACATATCATATTTCATACATTAGATTCAAGTGGGTTATGAACTCACATTTTTACCCCAAATACARRTTGCAGAATCACATCGGTTACACATCCACATTTTTACATAATGCCMTATTRGTAACTGTTGTATTCTGCTACCTTTCCTATCCTCTACTATCCTCCCTYCCCTCCCCTCCCATCTTCTCTCTCTACCCCATCTACTGTAATTCATTTCTCTCCTTGTTTATTTTCCCATTCCCCTCACAACCTCTTATATGTAATTTTGTATAACAATGAGGGTCTCCCTCCATTTCCATGCAATTTCCCTTTTCTCTCCCTTTCCCTCCCACCTCATGTCTCTGTTTAATRTTAATCTTTTYTTCCYGCTCTTCCTCCCTGCTCTGTTCTTAGTTGCTCTCATTATATCAAAGAAGACATTTGGTATTTGTTTTTTAGGGATTGGCTAGCTTCACTAAGCATAATCTGCTCTAGTGCCATCCACTTCCCTGCAAATTCCATAATTTTGTCATTTTTTAGTGCTGCGTAATACTCCATGGTGTATAAATGCCACATTTTTTTTTATCCAGTCATCTATTGAAGGGCATCTGGGTTGGTTCCACAGTCTAGCAATTGTGAATTGTGCTGCTATGAACATTGATTTGGCAGTATCCCTGTAGCATGCTCTTTTAAGGTCTTCAGGGAATAGTCCGAGAAGGGCAATAGCTGGGTCAAATGGTGGTTCCATTCCCAGCTTTCTCAGGAATCTCCATACTGCTCTCCAAATTGGCCTCACCAGTTTGCAGTCCCAC